GGACGGCGCCCAGCGCTGCCGACTGGCGGCGGGTCTTGGGCTACCCCAAGCGCAGATTGGGCCCTCGCGGGGCAGATGGACGGCAGCGGTGGGGCCGAGGCGTCCGGGTATGGAGAAGAGGGCGAGGACGAGGAGGAGGAAGAGGAAGAAGAGCAAGAGGGCGGCGCTGCGGGTTCGAAGGGGTCCAGACTGCCCCCCATCGCGGGCGGCGCCCCAGCGGTGACCAAACGGAAGGTGAAGAAGAAAAAGAAGAAGAAAAAGACCAAGGGGTCGGGCAAGGGCGACGGTAAGAGGAGCGGCCAGCGCGGCTGCCTCAGTTCCTGCAGCTGAGATGCTTCTCGGAGACCCGGGGTCCACCTGGAGACCACTTCAGAACAGACGCCCTCCAGCTCCCCACGCGTGCCGTATGCCACTGCCCTCCCCTTGAACACTATCCTGCCCTCAAGGCCCTGCCCGACAGCAGACACCTTGTCACAGAAGTTTTCCAGCTTTGAGGTCTCCTAGCCTTGCAGGGACCCTACATTCTGCCTTGAGAATTCTCGATATCCCGAGTCCCTCAATCTCCCAGAAACTCCTCCCAGACCCCCACCATTCCCAAGAGCCTCCCAGCCCCACGCAGAGACTTTACACACTCTGTCAGCTTTCTAATCCCTCAGCCCAAATTCGAAATACCAACATCGACACCTTCCCCAAAGAAATCTCAAGTCCTTCTACAGAGATCTCCCTTACACAGAGACTGTCCCAAACCCTAAGATGCCAAGACACTGCCTGACAGACAGACACTCACATACACTAGTCACACAGACCCTTACCTTCCTCTAGAGATCTTCCTCACACTCTCATGAGTTAAAGGGTACCTGACTCTGGATGTTATGTAGACACCCATAGCCACATAAATGCTTATGAAAACTTCCCTGTGCAGACCGTCTACCCACCCCATCACTGAGGGGCAGCTTTCAGTCCACCAGTCTCATCACATCATGCACTGCTACGTCCTCTTATAATCCCTAACACCCCAACAGCTTGCCGAGTGTTAATATAATGTTATCAAATGAAAACGAAACACAGGCTGGCTCTGTGCACATGGTGACACTGCTTAAGAGAAGCCAGATCCCACCTGGTGGCCGTGGTTCAAATCCCTGGCCCAGCTGACCTCAATCACACCAGACATGCACAAGAGCCCCAGGATCTGATGGACTAGAGGACAAGACGAAGGAGATCATGGCATGACCATACCTAAGGATGGTGCTTCTCTCTCTCTTTCGCTCAAGTAGGCATGCAGACCTTCTATTACGAATAAAGGAAAGAAAAAGAAACTAAAGCGTAGATACCCCAGCACGCACACACATTCGTGGTCCACATAGACATATGAAGGGACTTCAAAGAATTTGTGGAAAAATGGAGTTAAAGAACAAGTTTATTTTGGTACAAAAAATTTTGATATGTGTGTACAGTTGTCCATAATATATATTTTTCACGAACTTTTTGAAGACCCTCGTCATACAGGAACTATGTTATATACACAGTTTCTGTGAATATACAAATATACTGATGCCAGTACCCCAGTCTCTCAGGGACACCTTCACATACTTATACACACCAATGCCACCATAAACCCAGAGTCCCTGCATCTCCCCACACTCCTCTCACAGAACCCCTGGACTTCTCTCTCAGACACTGAGCACCCACTTTGAGAAGAGAGTAAGGCAGTGACAGAATGCACCTGTCTTGAGTGCTGTGGGCCATTGTTATCTGTATAGTCCACTTCAGTGGCTTTGGCTGTCAGGGAGGTGGCCCTGTCCTCCAGTGTAGCTAGTCCTGGGCTCAACTTTCTGGACCTTGGCCTTTTGTGTGCAGAGCTGGCACTACTGGCAAGCCAGAGGAAGGAGTGGCAGCCTTGCCCATGTCAACCCTATAGTTTCGAGAATGAGCAGTGGGAAAATTATGATTACTTCTTTGGTTGGAAGTATAATAAAAAGGCAAGAAAACACTTCTGGAGTTTAGGTCAAAAAGCCTATGGTCCAGGGGCCTGCCGGTGGTGTGGTGGTTAATGCAATGGACACTCTCACATGGCCGACCATGGTTTGAATCCCAGACCTGGTGGCCTGCTTTTTCATCACTTTTCCTCTCTTTCACTCTCTCTCTCTCTCTGTCTCTCTCTGGTCAGATAAAAATAAATGAATGAATAGATAAAATAACTCTTAAAAAAAAAAAAAAGTCCATGGTTCAACCATGGTTGGGAAGTAGAAGCCACATGGGAGGCCCAGGGCTGGTTCCTGAGCCAACCTGAACAGGCAGAGCACAGTTGCACACCTGTGGTCCCAGCTGATCGGGAAGCTGTGGCAGGAAGATTGCGACACAGCAAGACCCTGTCAGAGTTACCTCTCTCTGTTTCTCTCTGTTCCTTCTCCTCTCATAAAAGCAAAACAAAAACCCTGTGTGTACGTACAAAACAAAATTAGGAAGTGTGCTGTCTTTTTGGTGTAGCTTTTGACTCTAGAAATTACAGCACGAATCTTATATTGTTAGCAGGGGACACCAGATAGTTTTGGGGGAGCAAGAAGGTAAAGAAAAGTCAAGGGCCAGCAGATGGCATGGTAGTTAAGGCACTGGTTCCCAGATGGCTGACTTCGCAGTTTGAATCCCAAACCCAGCAGCTTGAAAAATATGCTAGACATATGTGTGTATGTGCCCAAAATCCTGAGAGGAGAATAGAGGAGAAGGGATTGTGACATGGCCATTCACCCTGGGGTGTAATCTCTCACGTTCCCTGTCTTTCCCTTTGTCTCTCTCAGGTGAGCACACATGCCCTATGGCCAAAATCTAGGGGAAAAAAGAGAAAAGTCTTTTTTTAATTTTCTCTTTTTTCCTTGGTTTCAGGGAAGAGGTAGGTATTTCTCTATCCCCAAAAACATCTGACAAAAGAACCCCGATGTATAGTGGTGTATGTGCATATTACACAACTCCGAAATGCTATTAATGTAGAACAGATCAGCATAAGCACACAGAACACCTCCTGGCTTGGCACTACCGCTGTCAGTAGTCAGATGCAGGCAGCTTCGCTGCTGTTCCCCATTCCTTCCACCATGAAGTGTGTGGACCAGCAGCAGAGCCACAGACTCCGGGAACTGCACAGTACCTTGGTGAGCTTGGAGGTGGGGAGGGGGTGCAGCATGGCATGGTGGGAGCCAGGCCCATGTTCGAATCCTGCTCTGCCACTAGCTGCTTGACACTGGCAAGTTACTGAAGCTCTTGGAGCCTCAGTTCCCTTCTCTAGTGAACAGGGCTGATAGTCTTTATCCAGAAGACCTACTCTGTGCTCAGTAAGTGGTTCCTTCCACCCCGCAATGACTAAAAGCATCCAGGGAGTGGGTGTAAATGAGACTGGTGGGCTTGGCAGCCTGACCCCTGCTAAGGAGATGCCTCCACATCCCACCCCATCCATCTCTGGTGGTCAGGCCTCACCCCCGGCAGGCTGAGGGCCGAGTCAGCACAGACGCTAACCTACTCTCTGCTCAGCAGATAAACGGCAGAGTCGAGGCCTGAAGAGTCAGCCACTTTCCTCGTCCTTTCATGACATCTTAAATCCCAGCAAAGACCTTGGTCCCAAGCCAGAGCACAGACAGAGCAAAGAGGACAAGCACGCCCCTTCTTATTCTTTTACCCTAAGTGTCCCCCACTTTGCAGAAATCGAAGAGAACCTTTCAAACCAGATCAATGAAAGCCTACGTTGGGATGGAATTCTCACAGACCCGGAGGCAGAAAAAGAAAGGATTCGCATTTATAAACTGAACCGAAGGAAGCGGTACAGGATTTTGGCCCTCAAGGGCTTCCACTCTGATTCCTGTGCCGAGGAGCCCCCTGAGAACTTACCTTCCCTCTCGGACAAAGATCGCAGTACCCTGAGTAGGCAGCCCGCCTTGAAAGCCAACTGCCGGAGCCCCTATTTGGAAGGAAACGTCACCCCCAAGCTCCTGCACTCGGACTTAGCAGCTACCCTGCCGGACTGAAAATCCACCCTGAACCGGCAGGTTTGCCATTCCTCCTTATCACAAGGTGATATATTTGAAAGAGGAATAAAAGGAAATCAGGCCTGGATCTGAAGGAAGCAGATGTTTGGGGTGCCCTGTCCCTTCATGGAGCTGCCTCGCCTTGACCCCCTTAGGAATATCGGTGTGCTCATGAGCACAGCTCTTGCGGAGGCTGCTTTTCCTTACAGTAGCTTTGCCCTTTGTTACTGAATTTCTCAGCATAGCCCGCTGTCTATAATCTGTCCCTAAAAAGAAAAAGTGTGCAGTTGAACGAATTTTAACTCACTCATTTCCTGGGTAAAACTCCTCACACAGTACATGCTGCCGTAGGCCCAAGGAAAATGCCCCCAAATAGCCTGGAGACTTTGTTTTTTAATTAAATACATTACCTGCTTGTAGCTGGCCTTTGGAGTAAGTGAGTCCCTTGGGCCAGCCCTGCAGCATAGTGTTATGGGAGCCATGTGACCGTAGTTTGAATTATGACCCTGGTGGCTTGAAAAACATGATGGGCATGTTCGCACGCAGGCCCAGTATCCTGACAGGATGGAGAAATGGAAGAGAAGGGATGGCAGTGTGACCATGCCCCGCTGGGGAGTGCTTTCTCTCTCGCTTTCTCTTCCTCTTTCTTTCTTTAGTGAGCACACATGCCCTCTGCCAATTAAAAAAAAAAAAAGAGTGGGTTTCAGAACTTCATCCCTAGGGGACTGACAGGTGGTGGTTAAGGGTATTGGACTCCCACATGGCAGACCACGGTTCAAGTCCTGGACCTGGAGGCTTGTTTTCTCATTTTCCATCTCTCTCCCTCTCTGGTCGTAATAAAAAAAAAAAAAAAAATGATAAACAAAAAAAAAAAAAAAAAAAAAAAAAAAAACAGAATTTCATCCCTAGGAAGTTATTATGGGAAGAAGTCCTAAAAGGAATATTGCTTCTCTTATAAATATAGCAGTCTTCTCATGCCCCAAAACATTTTAAGCAAAGTTCTGGAACATTATAAAAAAAGTCTCTCTGTAGTTTGTCCTAAATTTATATTCCTCTGCTCCACAAATCTGAGGGTACGTCAAAAGGTCATGAATAGATGGTGACACAGTGTTAATTCGGTGCTATGCAAAGCTGACTCACATGGGAGGGTTCCAGGTTTCTGTCTAAAGACTTCCCCGAGCATGCTGGGTATATGCATGCCCATATCCGGGCTGGCTGGGGCGGGGAGAGGTTTTAGCAGTGAAGACCCTGTTGAGGGCGCTGTCTGTAGCTCTTCCTCATGGAAGAAATAAACTTTAAAAAGGGGAGACAAGGGACTGGCCTCATAGTACAACAGTGAAGCTCTGCACATAAGGAGTCAGATCCCACATAGTCAACTGAGATTCGAATCCCAACCCTGGCGGCTTCAAAACAAAAAACAAAAACACTCTGGCCTCATGTGCATGTGTGCTGAGGATTCTGACCTGACGGTGAGATGGAGAAAAAGGATTGCAACATGACTATGCCCTTTGGGGAGAGTGCGTCCTGGTCTGGTGAGCACAACACAAGTCACGGAAAAAATGGAACGAAAGTACAAATTTTTTCTGGTTCAAACTTTGAAATCCATGCATAACATACCTTTTCCACAAATGTCTTGAAGATGCCTCCTAATTATTGAGTGAGGGCTGTGTGTTGCCTTGGCTTGTGCTCTCCAGAAGCAGACCTTGAGAAAGGATTCAAATGTAAGTAGGTTATCCGGGGTATGAAGGAAAGAGCAATAGAGAGGGGCCTGGGGAAGGACAGCAGTTCAGGGAACACTATTAAGTGTCTTTCATTCTGGGCAATTGGAGCATAATCCTACGGAGAAACACTGGGAAACAATGCAAGACCCACTTCCTGAGAAGGGAGCTGGGGTATTTATACTCTCCAATGGCACTGGTTCTGGGCAAGGGATGTTAATTTCCTGGCATCTGCAACCTGCCACACTGTGTGGACCTGGCAGCCTACCTCAGGGAAAAATAACCCTCAGACACAAAGATGCAGACTGACAGGTCTGAAGGATGAGGGTAGTCTCTGGAGACTGTGGGCTACCTTTGTGCTACATGGCGCCAGGCCAGAGAGGGCAGAAAGCAAGTCTAAGATGAGAACCCTGCCTTCCAAGGGGTTACAATGTTCTGGGGTAAGCAAGACATACAGCGTGCCTGGGAGAAATGAAAAGCTGACATCCCAGAATACTTATTTGAAAGTTATGTGAAAGTGCCCATCTTCATCCGCTGGCTATCAGCTGACATCATCTCAGCCTTACTTGAAAGGCTAGTTACAGAGCCAGCAAGTGGCATGGTGTTTAAGACACTGGATCCCACATGGCCGACTGTGGTTCCAGTCCCTGACCCAGCAGCTTTAAAATCACATCGGGCATGTGTGTGCGTGTGCCCAAAATCCTAGGAGGAGAAGGGATTGTGGCACAGCCATCCCCGCTGGGAGGTGATTTCTTACTTTTCTTTTCTTTTCACTGTCTGTCTCTGTCTCTCTCTGATGAGAGCAAGTTCTCTATGACAAAAACCTGGGGGAGAAAATCAGTTACTGACTTTCCACATTTCTGTCATGAGGCCCTGGCAAAACATTCTAAAGAGATTTTTGAAGAGCCCTCTCCTACCCTGGAGAATGGGTAGCAGTCAGGCCTGGCAAGGTCTCGGGCAGATAGGACTGGCCCTCCCTGAGGCCTGTCCTCCACTATCAATGGAGAGGAGGGGACAGGAAGTATGCAAATGTTCAACCATAGGGCCTCACCAATAACCCAGGCTGAAGGTAAAGGGAGTGGCAGGGTTGGCATCTCCTGTGCCCTCCAGATCAGCCTCAGAGGCTGAGGGTGTGGTGCAGAAGTCTGAGGGCATACTGGACTCAGAGTGCCTTGGTTGCTTAGCAGTGTCTTCATGGGTGGTGAGAGCGAGGCGGTGGCCCGTGGTCATCTTTATGCCATTGCCATTCAGGGGATCGTGGTTAAGATGAGCCTTCACATCAGAAGTGAAGCGATCTCTTTTCTTCTGCATGCTAGCTGTGTGACCACAGGCAAGTTGCTTAACCTCTTAGCCTCAGTTTCTCATCTGAAAATAGGGATGTAAATACCTACCTTAGTGTTGTGAAAATCAAATGGAGGATTTATTTTTTGAATGTCTGTTTTTCTCTGTACCTGCCTCTGCATCAGCATCTGTTCAGGCAGGTTCTCGTCAGCATGGCAAAGACATCCTTGTAGTCCTGCAAGGAAAAGGCTACTCCTTTGTCCCTATCCAGTGTCCATACCGATCCCAGTGGTCTGGCCTGGGGTCATACGCCCATTGCTAGACTAACCACAGGGACCAAGGAAATGGTGTATTGGATGGCTGGGTATGGAGGAGAATTGGGGCTGGAGGCAGAGGCACTCCCACTGGATGCATGAACAGAACAGGTTGTTACAGATCCTCTGCAGAACATATATGGAACAATTCTCTAAAGAAATGCCAAGTAGGGGCCAGCAGGTGGCATGGTGGTTAAGGCACTGGGCTCCTATGTAGCCAACCATGATCCAAGTCCTAGACTTGATGACTTGAAAATCACACTGAACGCGTGTGTGTACATGCCCAAAATCCCAGGAGGAGAATGGAGAAGGACTGCAATGTGGCCATCCCCCTAGGGAGTGATTTCTCACCTTCCCCCTCACTTTCTCTGGAGAGCACACATGCCCTATGGCAAAAAACAAAAAACAAACCAAAAAAAATACTGAAAAAAGAAAAGAAATTCCAATTAGACAAATTCCCATCACCCCATTGCCCTCCAACTGGAGTGATTCATTTAAGAAGGCCCTGACCAAGGGTCATGGGAGTGGCTTGTCTGGCATGAATCCATCTCGGCCCATCTAGATTGACTGCATGCTTGTCTCCAAAATGACTAACCCTTGGCCAGTACTGTGAGATCCATTAACTGACAATAAACAAATTCTGTAACCACTGTTCCATGAGATATTTTGGAGCAGTGTATAGTAATAATTGGTTTATGGTCTGCACTTGGTTTTGGTGGTGCCTAGGAGTGGCTTGTAGCCTGTAAGGCTGGTCTCAAGCTAGAATGTGCCCCCATGACCACCTCACTATGAGAGTAGACCCAGCACAAGTAGACTGGGTTGCCTAGTACCAAGGTGCTTCACACACACACACACACATACACCAGTCATGATTCAAATTTGGGAACACCCATTGCGTGATCCTCATGAACTCCACAAATCAAGCAGCTGGTGTCTCCGATCCACCGTGGCAAGGACCCAAGATCTGCTACCAACTGCATGAGTTAGTTTGGGAGCAGTTCCACCCCCAGGTGGGCCTTGAGAGGCCTGTAGCTCTGAATGACACTTTGTCTCTACCCTGAGCCAGAGGCATCCAGCTAAGCTGGACCCAGGGTCCTGAACCACAGAAACATTGCAATTATAAAAAGTTGGCTTTAAGCCACTAAATTTGGAGAGAATTTTGTTACACAGCAATAGCTAACTAATACAGGTAGCCCCTTCTTCATCAACAGCATGATTATCCCTGATAATCCTATGTTAATCCTGATCTGAGAGTTAGAAAATCATAAACCCAATCCTTCCTAAGAAGGGTACCACAGACACCATTGCACCACAGACGTCATTATAATAAGTTTGTTTTAAATCACTACATTTGGAGAGAATTTTGTTAGGCAGCAATAGCTAACTAATACAAGTAGCCCCTTCCTCATCAACAGCTATGATTCTCAGTGTCCTGTGTTAGCCCTAATCTGAGAGCTAGAAAACCACAAACCCAATCCTTCCTAAGAAGGACACCACAGCATATTGCCAGTGCACGGTAGGCTTTTAAATTTATTTCCAAGAGAGGTGCTGTGTCTTGCCAGGACTGGGGTCATTGTCAGGCCAGTCAAGAACCAGATAAGACTGCATGGGCCTCTTGGGTTCCTTGTTTTTGTTAATTATATGTCAATAAAGCTAGTCAGGATGTTTTTATGGTATGTGTTTTGTATCTGCCTCCCACCTTTAATTGTAACTGTAATATTTTTATGACATTTTATAGTTTAATAGTTCTTCTATCTCCTTTGTTCCCTGTGCGGGAGGAATAATAATAATTCAAAAAAAAAATTTAGTTCTTCTGTGAGCAAAAGAAATTGACAGAGGGAGGGAGAGTGAGAATGAGAGAGACAGCATCCCCAACAGGGTCCCACTGCCATGAGCCAACCCGTTCTCAGCAAGCCCTAGGTTGCAAAAGCGTTCATGGCAGGATGTGAACCCAGAACCTTCCCCTGGGGCTCAGTCTTGTAGAATGTCATGTCTTTAGGCTGCACCACCATCCAGCCCCCTGGAATTATTATTTCACAACTGAGGCTTAGAGGGAAGAGAT